CTAGAGCGACAAGTCGATGTTAGTAAGGTTTCTTGAACGCTTCCGAGGGATGATACCCTAAGCCCCATAGCAAGGTAGCACCCAACCCATGTCCTTCACTAAGACTGATAGGGTATAGTAGTTTTCACGCTGCCTTTAACACGCCACCACGCTTATCATGCATGCAAGCTGCTGCGGATGCAGGTGTTACCGATCATCACCCGGCCTGATTTCAGCCACCCCTCGGCTTCGACAAGTGCTCCTCACGCATTCCCAGTCTGGAGCGCCAAGAACCATACTGCGTCGGTAACGTCCCTATATTGATCGATGAACTCGGTAACTCATTCGCACATGTGCAATGAGGCTCTGCTGCATTTGATGGCTCCTTTGGCTGTTTCTTTGGACTTAAAAGGGGGGGCTTGCGCGACATGGAATATAAATCGTCACGCAATCAACGAATATCAATTGGTACTACGTACTTTTTTTGAAACATGAGTGAACCAGTTTGGGACCATGAACACCAGAGGTATCTGCGCACCCACTGGGACGAACGGCACGGGCGCTACTTCAGAAATCACTTTGAAGGTCTGTGAACCTTCATTCGTTCTACATCTTTGCTTTTATATATTTGCTTTTTTAGGGGCTAACGCTACAACTACATCTAGGAGAGCGCTGGGTATTCTTTGACTGGCTTCCGCCTCACGGTCAACTCACTCGCGCCGATTCGCCGCAGGATGTTCGAGCAGGGCCGGCTTCTACCCCGGCTGTAGAGGGGCCAGAGATCAGAGGCACTTACAACTACAACCAACCCGCACCGAACAGCCATGTGGAATCGTTGGACTCTTGTATAGTGCAATCCCCCTTGCAAATTGAATAATGCTGATTGTGTGCAGCTTATTATGTCAGGCCCAGCAGTTTCTTTACTGTTGGCAAGGTAAAGTAGCCTACTTATACGTGAAGTGAACTTCCTGCTCATGACATGCTAGGTCTTCTCGGTCTTGTTCAGTGAAGCCGCTGGCTCGACAGCAACTGCATACAACAACTCCATCTCTATTGTGAAGTATGGAGAGTATGTGCATAGCCAGATCCGACGTTTCATCGTAGTCGGGCCCAGGCATGGATTTTGCTTCGCCGTGTAAGTGACGTGGCCCATTAGTTTTGCGCATTTCTTTGACACGTTTAGCCCCATCTTCACGTACGGTGGCCAGGGTACGAAAAAGCACGGTGTATTGCCCAGTGCGCATGCGATTGCCTACTCTCTTGACTATACGCCTTCACTGCTGGAAGGCGAAAGCTTGCTTGACAAGGACCCTATCTGCAAGTCGCCCGAGCACCAATCCTTTCGAGGAAAGATTCTAGCGCTGACGACTGGACCAGGTATCATGATGGCGCAAGGAGTGCCTCCCCTATCTCAAGCATCACGAATTTTCTTCGGAATTCACCACCCTACTCAGCACAACGTCAAGGTCAAAGATATCGGCGACGTCCACCCTGACCACATTCACAGGCTCTTGGGTTATTGGAACACACAAAACTACTCGCCCGGCGACTAAGACACGTAGCACCACCCTCGCGCCACTGCCACTAACGTCCGCATGCGACACGATGCTCCCGTCTGTCGCGTCATACCCGGGAATTGAGGACCTTCTTTCCTTCTTATCCACAATACGTTACCTTTGCAACTTGCACTATGTTGCCATCCGTTCATTATCTGCAAACACTATATCAGATTGGATCACAATATCTTAATGTTCTCCGCAACTTAACGGCCGCTCAAATTGTATTTAATGAATATGACGTATCAGATATTCTTGTTAGCCAGGGTATATACCTTATGCACATTGTATATCGTGATATTTGATGCCTGTCAGACTGGATGATACCGAGAGCCATCAGGTGCATCGCTCTGCCCCATAACTGAGTTACAGGGCACTTCAAGAGCGGTCCCATCTGCCTGATAAGTACGAGGAGGCAGTACGGGGGTATACGACAACCGCAAAGCCACATGAAACATGTGAGCTTGCTCGAACGCCCTTGTCCTTTGACCCGCTTGCCGTGACGCCAGCCATAGCCGATCGATTCCTTACACATGCCTTTCTTAGCAAGAGCTTTGCTATCTACTCTCCATATGTGAGTGGGTCTGGAAACCACGTGGCTGGGAACCGCGGTCGATCAAGTGGGTTTAGACGACAAGATCCTCCAGGGTGCCTTTCCACCCTTCAAATTACCCCACCTTGCTAGAAGCGCCCACCTTCAAACATGCAAATGGTCACAGAGAAACAAAGACGGTCCCACATGATATCACCAACAGGCTCTAGATACAATCTCACCAATCAAATACGTACCCAGTCCCTGCAATAACATAGTCCGCAGCTGCGTTGCATATCCATTGTATCGGTCAATCGTTCAAAAGCGGCCCGACGGCCGGCACATCTCACACGGGAGGCCTAATAGAAGCCTACCTAATGGCACTGCAAAACTGTCATTTGCTCAGCGAAAACGATAGGCGTGTCAGTTGACGCTTCGCTGCACAGCGCCAATGGCGAAGTCGCCTGATACTGTCGTTCTCATTGTTCCGCGGACGTGAATCGACCGTACGCATGTCGCGGTCAGTACACAGTAATGTTCACGTCTGTCTATTGGTGGCCGCAATTATCAACGTTCACAGTCAGCTCCATGCATGTGTGGCAAAGATAGGAACAAAAGCGAATGACCGTCATACATGCTGCTAGCATGGCGCGTATCCCACGTCAACGTTCAGATATTGTGCACCTCTTAATGGCTACAGCTGGTAGACGACGCGCGTTACGCTCACTCAAACTTACCCTTGAGGCTTGATACGAACGAGGCTGGGGGGGAAAAGCACCAACCAACCTTCTCTAAAGCAGCACAACGTATTCCTGGGCACTGAAACATGTCACAGTTTCCTAACTGGGCTTGTTATCCCGGGAGGACCGGCCAGGAGAAATGTCACCATCTGAACGAAATGGTTGGTGGACCACCAGGTAGATGTTACTACAGCGCGGAATGATAAGTCCGGTCTCATTTGAATGGGCCGTCCTTCCTTCTCGTCGTACCATAACAAGTTTATTGACCGGCTCATTTCCACATCCCGTGCCTTAATTGTCGGCAACAATAAAACACCGCGAAAAGGCAAAAAGGCATTTCGGAGCCCGACGAATGCGGTTTCACAGGACAACATCTGATGTGCACATGGCGCAAACGAGAAGTGCGTAGGTGTACTGCACGCGAACGCGGTCACGCTCGAGAAGTCGCGCTGTCGGCGTTGGTTGTCGTATAGGAAACCATCTAATCAATGACCTTTCTTCCTAGCCTCAAAGAATCCACAACTTTGCGTAGGGAGCAGCCAGATAAGGTGCCAGTCCCACGGGAGCTAGGCGCGGTTTACTAAGTGGGGTTGAATGCGGGCCGCCGGGACTCCACTTCTTCGGCTACACAGCATGTGCAACCAGCCTTTGTACACCAGCCTTGTCATTCCGACTTTCTGAATTCACGACACTGCGCAGTTCTCGTGTCCCGAAGATGAGAGCTGAGGGATTTCCGCGGGCTAAGGATTCCATTCGTCTTCAAAGCAACGTAAATTTGTGGCTTGAGCTCGTTCACAGATAAGACACTTGGCGAGGCCTGATTGAGTACTTATCCCAATCCTTCCGTTTAAGGGTGTCAACCACGCGGCTGGAGAATGGTCAATAATAACCGATAGACGCCTCGTAGAACCCGGCATCTTTGTTCAGTGGTTCTATCGGACCGACGAGAGCGTTTGCCTTGTTTTCTGGGTCTACCGGTGCTCCAGTGCTCACTCGCAGCCGAGAGATAGGCCTGCCGATCATGTCGTGTCACCAGCCGCCTTAGGTCAATACCCGACGGGACGGGATGGCATGGGATAGCTACTTGTGGTGGGTTACACGAAGGTGTGTTGGTCAACAACCTGCCTTTCAGTCTTCTCATCTAAGCATTACCCTTTCACTATCATGATATCATTAGCCATAAAGAAGAATTGCTTCTTCATTAAGATTCGGCTTGAGAATAGTAATCTGTTTTTACACGTGATTTCTTCCGGACTTTGCGCATGCTTGAATAGTGGATAGACGTCAAAACTGGAACTTGGAGAGACCATACACGTGATATCTGAATGTCGTTTTACATCTTTTTGGGTATCTATACAAGTCTAGAAAACATATACCTTTAATTCGACTCTATCGGAAAAGTGTCAATTCACACATTTTTTAGGGAACAGAGACAAAACTCGACATCATGTGATGCTTCAAACCCCATTATGACATATTTCCAAAGAAATAAACACCATGCAATCACAAACTATATATTCTCGAAACCCAAACTCACCGCCCAGCTCATTGCCATCAAGTCAAACACCGCCTTCACATCGCACAAGCTCTTCGTCCATTCCAACCCGACAGAGAACAATCCTACACTTTGATTCGCCCAATCTTTTTTCTCGACAAAGCCTCTAAACACAAAGAAACTCGAAAACATCTTACATCTCCAGCACAACACCTTATCACACCTCTCATACCCATCTTCACTCATAGATCCAATATTACTCGATTCACCCACAACACTGCACTATCTCTCTCGCCTCATATACGAACCGACATCGTTTTTCTCGTACTTTCAAAGTCATTTGTATCCGTTTAGTAACTTACCACCTGTCCCATTTTCTTTTCTTCTACTCAATGCACCATCCTTCCATAACCCTCAGCCTGCCTCGAACACGGCACCAGTGACTATATGCAACAGAGAAACAGGAAAACAAGATAATACATTGGAAATTCTTGACATGCATCGCAATGCAAGTGAGCACTGCCATTATCACTTCTTCTACTCTAGTAACGCGATGAGTCAGCTACAGCAGACACTCAAAGTGTCCAGCTAAGGCAGGTATGTCATTATATTCAGATATCGACACTACCAAACTGATGCTGTTTTCCCTTCTCTGAATACCCCACCAGCTCCTCCATAACATCTTGACACAATCACCTCTATTTCTTCCCCTTACCCCGTGCATTAAATGTCTTCAACGGATCTACCTTGCCATTCCGCTTAACCACTTTCCTCCCCCTACCCTTGACAAACCTCTTACGATCAGGTTTCGGAAGATTGAGCCCGACGAACCCGACATCCTCTGGCTTTTTACCACCGGGTAATAGGTAGTCTGGTACGTGCTTGAGATGCGGTTGTATCCTGAGGGGGTGGTTGAGAGTCTGGTCGTGGCGGAGATGGGCGAGGGCTTCAGGGTTTTCTTCGAACTAAGATGAGTGTTAGGGTGGCTCAGCGGAATGGATGAGAAGGAAGGGATGAACTTACGTATCGCGAGAGCTTCTGTGATTTGGCGAGCTCTGAGTGGATTTCTTTGATGCGGGCTTCTCGGATAGCGATTCGCGTGACTGACTTGAGCGCGTCTGCAAAGCGGTATCGGAATGGCTCTAGGCGCTTCATGTCAAAATTGTAGTTTTCTAGCTTTTGGCCTTCTTGCTGGTGCTTCTCGACCTTCTTGAGAACTTCCTCGTCGTTCTCACATCCGGCGAAGCTTGTGGGCTTGTGTTTTCTGTACTTTTCCTTGGGAATAATGAACGAGATGGCGGTTCCGGACTTTCCTGCTCGCGCAGTCCTTCCTATCCGGTGAAAATAAGACTTGTAGTTACCAGGGAAGTCAAAGTTGAGGACACAGGCAACATTCAAGAAGTCAATACCTCGAGAAACGCCTGAGTCTTTGCTGTCGTTATTTCTCTTTGCTTTCTTCTTCTTTGGCTTCGAGTCCTCGTCTTGGACTCCGACCACATCGTTCTCGTCACTGGCGATGAGAATGTTATACACGTTTTTGTTGAATTCCTCCACGATGTGAGTGCGTGACGCAAGCGGAAGTTCTGAATTGAGCACGGCACTCTTAATTCCGAATTGTTCGAGGAAAAGCTTAACGCGATATGATCGGTCGACATCGCCAACGAAGACAATCGTCTTACCCTTGATCAGCTGCAATTTGAACATGGCGTAGATCAAGAGAAACTTCTCGTCTTCGGCAACCTTCAGAACATATTGCTTCACCTGCCATTTGTCAGTATGCATTTTCAAGTCGGATATGCGAATATGACTTACTCTTTTCGAGTCTTTGTCAAGGTCGGCAAGTTTGAGAATGACGGGATCGGTACACAACAGGCTACCGAGAGCCTCAACGTCGGTGGAGAGAGTAGCTGAGAGAACAAACTTTTGGACGCCAACAGGTATCTCACGAGCTATGTTGGTCATATCCTCGGCGAAACCATAGCCGTTTATCAAATCACCTTCGTCCACAACTAGCGTACAAAGGTCGTTGACGGCCAATGTGGAGTTATTGATGTTGGTCCATGCCCTCGCTGGTGTAGCCACAACCACTTCTGGCTTATCGGCGAGCGCTGCCTTCACGACAGCGTCCGACTCCTTGCCCGCAATATTCCGTACCCTAATTTCCTGATTGCAGTGTTGTGCGAGGGATTTGGCGACGGTCGCAATCTGCTGGCACAACTCTCTCGTTGGAGCCAGGATGAGCGACGTCTGCTTCCGTTGCAGTGTTTTGTGTAGGATGGGAAGAAGGTAGGCAGCTGTCTTTCCTGTTCCTGTGCCTGATCTAGCCAGAATATCACGGCCCTCTAGCGCCAGCGGTATGGCCTGTGACTGCACTGCCGTGGGAGATGTCCATTTCAAATCGCGGATTGCTCGTAACAAGCGGGGTTCTAGCTGAAGTTCGGCAAAAGATGCGACATGCGCTGGCTCTGCCGCCTTGGTAGCTTTTGTAGATTTCTTGTTCTTCGGCGTCGCGGTGGTCGTCACGGGTTCGGTCGCGGTCGCTGCAGGTTGCGAAGGTTCGGGTGAAGTGCTGCGCTCAGAGTGTGACTCGTCACCTGACGTTTCTTCTGGCACATCATGCTCGTTCAACTTTCGCTTTGCCATTCTGAAATATGTCACAAGAACCTGCGCTTTGCAATGGCGATGTCGATGTTGTGTCGTCCAAGTTGTGCGCGCAATCTGAAGGGCAACTTCTAACTTTTTTGACGCTAACGCGGGCAATTGGCTTGGCAAGCCCCACCGCGGAGAAGCCATGGCATTGCCCGGCGCCGATAGTACATGTAGACATTTTTCACTTGCACGCAGTCCATTCAAAAACATTACTTGTTATGCCAGACACATAAGTTCATTACATTATAGCATATATGTTGGATCACAAAAATAACACGCATCGTCGTATCCCCACCAGCAAATGATTTGCCCGGCTGGTGGTTCCTTGAATCCGCTCACCAACTAGTCACGTGTTCAACCTACCGATCCAATCAAGCCTTGGTTCGTCTTGCAATAATCATCACAGGTAATCTAGGTCGTCTTGTCAGCAGCTGTCATGCCCAGTATCAATCAGATACTAACCCTAGGTAAGTTGTTCCGTGCACCATCCTGCGCCGTTCGGTTCAACTTGTTTACATATTCTGTAATCTCTGGAGTGTCCAGATCTTTGAGCGCCTTCAGGATTGCATCAAGGGTTGCCTGATCCGGCCCCTCGTTACTCGTACTCAACAAATCGATACCTGGTGGTGTCTGCGTGAGATTGGTTGCTGTCGAGTAGCTCGCATAGTAAGGCACTCTGTTGGCATCGCACCCCCAAACCAAGATGGCGAATCGACTGGTAGCACCCTTGAGAATCCCAGTTGCTGCAAAGTCTAACACAGCCGGTATATGCGGGTCTGGAGTATCAACGCCATACGTAGTGAAGATGGTGCTATTGCCTGGACGCTGGAACGAAAAGAGGTCGTTCACTAAACCTGTCGGGTCCGAGGGGTCGACTGGGGTTGGGTCGTACTGTATATTACGCATTGCGACATACTGGGGATTTGTGGCGAGAATCATCCACCATGGCTTGAAGTAAAAGCCCACAGGCGGTGGACACCATGGTTTGCCGTGGTCGTGCTGGCTGGCGGTACTCAAAAATGGCGGGATGCGAGCGTGTACACCCTCTGCGCCAATCTTCCGCGGACATCCGTCGGGAACGTAACGAGCGGATGCCAGAAGCGCGAATGCGCTTGTAAGAACTGCACTGAGAATCATTGTGTGGGTTCAAGAGAGTACAGCAGAAAGTGTGGAGTTGTGTGTTTCAATATATGTTTTCAGCTGGACAGTCAATATATACCTGGTTAGGAAAGAGGCTGAGAGTCATGCATACGCTCCTGGGATTACGCATAACAGGCCGCGTATATGGAATTTTGATCGACTTAGCCGGCTGGTAGTCGTACGAGATTTCAGAATCCGTCTTTCTAATCCAGCTCCTGCCGTATACTTGCATTCGTCCAAAATTGTATGATGCTTCAGCCATATCCAGTGGAGACACCAAGCGGACAGCCCGGATGCAGTAATAAAGTCTCCGTAAGCGAGGCTCGGAATCGTCTTTGTCGCAGAAATGGAGTAAAGTGGATCGAGCTGCCAGATCTTTCTTCAAGTAGCACAAGTTTCACCTCTTCTGAAACATCTCGTCATTCTATATGCTAGTGTTGGTTATGGACATGGAGGACTGTAGAGCGCGTTGAACGTAAACGACCATACGTAAAACTTTGGCCTGGAGATTTCAAGTATACCTGGAGAACAATATGTGTATTATGTCTCTATTTGCAACAAGCTTTGGTCGGTGAGAAACGTAAGAAGCTTACGGAGTCGTGGTCGATCTTGTGAGATGCTGACGGGCCCATGCGCATCTCAACTGAGTAGTATCGCCGAACAGAGTTGTAATGGATGAAAAGACTGACCCTTCAATGATAAAAGATCCATGGCTACTTTCCAATCTGAGCTGGGCAGGTAGACTCTGACTGTGGATTGGAACAATCGGTTATATGTAGCATAACCGGTGCCTGAAAGTAGATCGACACGACCGTTGTGCGTCTCTTTGCTAACACAGCGTACTAACACTTATACATATCATCACAACGACAGATTACGAGGGCTCCACCGTAATTCGGTCATCCTTCCTCCGGGTCGCAAGAGCATTTGGAGAATGCCCAGTAACGAAGCCCAAGATTCTTGCTCACTGGCGGGCCGATTGGACAATGCTTGACACAACCTTATGTGCACCTGAGCATCGACAAATGCATAAACGTTGATTCCATGCTGATCTTTACCGTCTCTTAAGTTAATCTTTCTCTGACGAAATTGATCTCCAAATTCGGCCTACAATCTCTCTTTCATTGTACACATCATACGCCAACACAACCTTCCACTGGAATGCATAAAAAAACAACCACGCTTCAAGATGCACATGATACACATCTTTGTCAAAGCGATCGAGTAACAATCTGCCAGTACGATGCAGGTCCATGCATGCCGTGGAGAAATGCGGTAGCTAGGGTACACGACCTGCACGGCCGACTTCGGGGCCCACCGTCGGCGCCATGCCATTGGATCCCCAACCCCAGCTTATCTCGCATCCTATGTTTACCTCATCGAAACCTCCAACACCATCTCCATCTCGATGCGCCAAAAGTCTCCACGCCCAGCACCCATATGCATACATATGACGATCCCCACGCGACCGTTTTGCACATGTCAGCCACTAAGCGTTGAGATGAGAAAAAATTCCGGCTCGCAATGGTAGGGCTCAGGCCGCCGCTGGGGTGGGGTCCTGGGTTAGTGACAGTACAGTTACCTGGGCCCGTTCTCTTATCAGCATAAGCGAAACCATCCCGCAAGAAAACCCCAACCAGCTCAGGTGCTGAGGGGAAGGTACTCCGCGATAAGGCGATGAGTTGACGAACCAAGCTGCGAAGTTGGGGGTCCCGCCTAGAATGGTTTGCAGCACAAGCACAGCTCTTAGTCTTACCCCAGCTACTGGATGTCTAATCTTTGGCCAATCATGTCTGCTTATTGAATCTATGAACGTGAGTCTTGTATGTGTGTATCTGGAGATGCTGGAGATAGCACCGTTTGGTACTAATGGATTTTTTCCACGGGTACTTAGTGCCGATGTCGACGTGACGGAAATATAGATGGCCTGGATCGCCCACTGAGGCAGCAAAAACTCAAGAAGCGTCTTGGACCTCAATTCTCATTCTCCACAACATAGCTCGAAATGGCTGGTGGTGGTACACCTGTTGGGCCCTCAGCTTCCCCTCTGGGACAGGCTTGGGGCTATGGCATCGTCCTTGGTGTCGGTTTCCTCTTTGCACTTGGCATGGTAAACCCTTCCTTCAATGTAATACTTGAGTGGCGTGCGCTGACAGCTTCAAGGTCTTTACTACCTGGGTTCTCAAACGCTACAACAATGAATTGCAAACCTCTGAGATGTTCTCGACTGCCGGACGTACTGTAAAATCTGGTCTCGTAGCTTCTGCGGTTGTATCATCTTGGACATGGGCAGCTACGCTATTGCAAAGTTCTTCTGTCGCATTTCGCTACGGTAAGCGAGGAAGCTGGTTACTCTGGCAAGGCAAGGCTGACGGTTGTACAGGTGTTTCTGGGCCCCTTTGGTATGCTGCCGGAGCTACTGTCCAGATTCTGCTGTTCGCTACTGTTGCCATTGAGCTCAAGAGGCGAGCACCAAACGCTCATGTAAGCGAATGCAATCGATCACGCAAACATACATATACTAAATATGTGTTAGACATTCCTCGAGGCCGTCCGCGCTCGCTATGGAAAGGCAACCCATTTCGTCTACATTGCCTTTGGCCTTTTCACAAACGTTCTCGTAACAGCCATGTTGCTCACTGGTGGATCCGCAGTCATCAGTTCCCTGACTGGAGTGCCTACGGCAGCAGCTTGTTTTCTTCTTCCCCTTGGTGTCGTTATATACACCATGTTTGGCGGAATCAAGGCTACTTTCCTTACCGACTACGTTCACACTGTCATTCTGCTCATCATCCTTCTCATCTTTGCTTTCACGACCTACGCAACTGGTGACAGGCTTGGATCGCCAGGAGCTGTTTACGATCGCCTACAAGAGCTCTCGGCCACAACACCTGTGCCCGGAAATGCTGGTGGAAGCTATCTGACGATGAGGAGCAAGGACGGTGCCATTTTCTTCGTGATTAACATCATTGGAAACTTTGGCACTGTCTTTATGGACAATGGCTGTAGGTTTTTCAGAGTGATATTATGCGTACAGAAGCTTACTTATAGCAGACTATAACAAGGCGATTGCCGCATCTCCAGTCCACGCACTTCCTGGATACATCATCGGCGGACTTTCTTGGTTTGCCATTCCCGTAAGTTTCTTGAAAGGTTTTTTTGTAAACAGTCGTTGACATCTTACAGTGGCTCTGCGCAACTACCATGGGTCTCGCAGCCCTCGCGCTCCAAAGCACAGAGTACTTCCCCACGTACCCTGCAGTTATGGACGAAGCATCCATCAGCGCCGGACTCACCCTTCCATATGCTGCAGTTGCTCTCCTCGGATCTGGCGGTGCCGTTGCAACTCTCCTTATTGTCTTCATGGCCGTTACTTCTGCCTTTTCCGCCCAGCTCATTGCCGTGTCCAGTATCTTGACATATGATGTTTATGGAACTTACATCAACACGAATGCGAGTGGTCGCCGTCTCGTGTACACCTCTCACGTGTGTGTTTGTGCCTTCGGACTCATTATGGCTGGATTCAGCACAGGATTGTGGTATGCAGGTATTAGGTGAGTTACACCCAAGTATATTCTACAGCCTGAAAATCGCTAATATCGAAAAGTATGGGATGGCTGTATGTCTTCATGGGCGTCATAATCTCATCTGCCGTTCTCCCGGCCACTCTTACCCTCATGTGGAAGGGCCAGAACAAATGGGCAGCCACCCTCTCCCCTGTCCTAGGATTGTGCTGCAGTATCACTGCCTGGCTCGTAACTACCTCCAAACTAAATGATGGCGTCATCACCGTAGCCACTTCTGGCGCCAATAACCCCATGTTGGCTGGTAACGTCGTCGCCCTATTATCTCCCGTAATATTCATTCCCATCCTCACTCTGATTTTCGGAGTTGGTAAGTTGCTCTTTTTCCTACGGATGTCAATACGCTCACTAACTCAACCCCAAAAGACAACTACGACTGGGTCTCAATGAAAAACATCCGTCTAGTCGACGACTCGGACGTGACAACAGCCGCGCACTTGGATCTCGAAGCCGTACACGGCCGCCACGCCGCTTTGTCCCCTGAAGCCGAAGCCGAAGAGCAAAGAAAGCTCTTCCGGGCCTCGAAAATCGCAAAAATCACCACCGCAACGATGACTTTGGTTCTTCTCGTTCTCTGGCCGATGCCGCTCTACGGCACCGGCTACATCTTCAGCAAGGCCTTTTTCTCCGGCTGGGTCGTCGTCGGCATCATCTGGCTCCTGTGCTCTACGATGGCTGTGGGTGTTTACCCGCTGTGGGAAGGTCGCCAGAGTCTCGTACGCAACTTCGGCGGCATGTGGCGCGATGTTACGGGTAAGCCGCGTCGGGCGGGTCCTGTAACGGTGGTTGAAGGGGAGAAGACGGCCGAGTCCGGTGCGCAGACACCCACAAAAGAGGCAGAGGCCAAGTCGTTGGAGCAGTAAGTGTGTGTGGGAATTTGCGTGGTTTTTTTTTTGGAAATACCCCTGATGTTAGAGCGATGAATGTGCCGATTTGCGGATTTAGTCTTTGATTAAAAGTATACCATTCTAGATACAAAAGTTGTTTGATATTGCACTTTGCTTACCTGGTTATATTCTACCCGGATCAATCTCCCAACCTAGAAACTTCACCTATCTAGTTGTTCAAGATATGCGAGAGAAATATACTTGCAGCCTCTTACCGGCTTATGATTTAATGCATGGGCTCGGGTGGATAGTGGTGTCTCGTACTTGAATTCAATCCTCGTAATGCCTTCTTATTGTCGCCACACCCTTGTCTGCTAGCTTTCATCAGAAGCTATTTTATTACATACGATTCTATGAGGTTAAGCGCGGAATCGCGCGTGCTAGTGTTGCTGCTGGACAACATTTAATTTGTATCAGATAAAGTATGTCAACCGAAACAGACTTCACAATGCGGTTTGTGGACGCGGCAGGTATAGTAAAAAAAACAAATTAGAATAAAATTTCTAGGAGCGTAGTATTTCTAGAAGTATAGTGTTTCTAGACATGGAGCATTTATGGAAGCATAGCTTACAGCTTCTGTACTTTTCCACGTTTTCGACATCTATTACATAGATTAATCTTCAATATTTCCTCAGATTTCAGGATTATTGTTTTGATCTCTAGTATTTATTTTAAAACACCCTCCAGTTCCATAAACAAGAGGCGCACAGTTTCCCCAAAGACCCGGGGCACGGAAACCTTAACCCTCTCTGCCCGCCAATTCTGCTTATCCCATTCAAGCTTTCCCTTACCCCACCTAGCTTACTACCCAACCTTCTCCCCCATACTATCCTCTTTTTCGCAAGGGCTAACCTCCGCACGTCATCCCCCCCAAACTCCCCCGCTCTCCATTTATCCCGTAGATCCGGTAAATACGAGACGAACCCCAGGAGTATCTTATTCCCGCGCCTAATCGATCAGACGGAAGAAATTAGTAGAAAGTAGTAGCGTGAATGGAAGCACAGACGCCTATGTGTGGCATGTCACTCCCATTTATTAACCTTAAATTTCCCCCCCACCACTCTACCCTGTTGCTGTGATAGTAGAGACAGAAATCGTGATGCGGGATTCCAACGCTATGTGAGCGAGTTTTAGGGATGTTTGGTTCGGTAGCCATGGAATTAGAGAGGTCGCTTGTACAGTTTCTAGAAGTATGCGGAGGAGGAGGAGAGGGGGGGGAAGGGGCGGTTCGGTGTATATATGCACCGAAGAAGAGCAGTAAGTAGATGATCACCATGAATAGCACGCCTAGTCCCTGCATATCCGTATATAAACTCCAGGCATGTTGATCAAAAAGAACTATTTGCTTCGCATCGCCCAATTCCCCTTACTCACCACTCAACCGCGGTGCCCGCAATGAAGGCCCTCCTCCCTCTTCTCTGCGGTGGTGCAGGCATAGTAGCATCCGCATCCGCATACTCACAACACCCAAGCGCCCCCGAACAACCCAAAAGCTTCTTCCGCCAAATTGGAAACTCAACATGGATCCTAGGGAACGAACTCTGGAATGTAACGCAAAACGCACAGTATGCGACTAAATTAATGTATAGAGGAAAAGATCGTGTAGGGGAGGCCGTGGGACATTATGTTAGTTACAGTACGTCCATGCCCTCTACTTCCCCCATGAAGATGCCAAATTTAACAAAACATCATAAAAGACGGCGCAGCATCCGACCTCCGCTGGACCACCGCTTCCATCGCCGCATCCGGGTCAAACTGGCTCGACATACGCTTCAGCGCTGCGGAAGGCGATTTCCACTGGGTCCTTCACGACCATCTGGCGGGCGCATACCAATACTTCATCAACCGCGGCTTGCCCACTCTCGGCGAATTTCGGAGCCTCTGGCGCCTCTCAAACACCTCCTTCCCACACGCCTCTACAAACACAAAAACCGGACTCTTGCCCCCCTTGTCCTTGTACCAAAACGCTACAAATGTGCAGGACGAGACGTGGCAACAGAGCGACGGCACTTTCTTGACAAAATACGACTGGGCTGCTTTTCTGCGCGAGCAGACGGCGTATGGGGTGTGGGGGGATGAGGTGGGGAGTTGGTATTTGCATGCGGGGAAGGAGTATTTGAATGGGGATCACTTGAAGCAGGAGTTGATGGTGCATCGAGAGAGTAAGACGGGGGATACGGTGCAGTTGAATATGCTGCACGGGACGCATTATCAAGCCTCATCGCGCGATTCGTTTGCCGCAGGCAACGATGAGGCTAGGATTTGGGGGCCGTGGCTGTGGTATTTGAACGATGGGAGTCGGCAAGATGCTGTGGAGCGGTGGGAAAGGGAAGAGAAGGAGTGGCCGTATGCGTGGTTCGAGAATGCGGCGTATCAGTCTCGAGGCGCGGTTCAGGGAAAGCTGGTGCTGAGTGATGGACGGCCTGCGGCTGGTGCAGCGGTGTTTCTAGGCGATAATCGCAATGAGACGGTGTCGACGCTGGATCAGGGACAGAATTATTACTACACGGCCTACGCGGATGATGCGGGCGAGTTCCGTATCCGCGACGTGCGGTCCGGCACGTATGCCTTGTATGCGTGGGGAAACGGCAGATCGATTGCGGATGTCATAACGAACTTTACGCACAACGATGTTGAAATCGTAAAGAGAAAGACGACATCGTTACCGTTACTTACTTGGTCCGTTACAGACAAGACAAAACGCATCTTTCAAATCGGAGATTTCGACCGCAAAACAGATGGGTTTTATCTGGCAGATCCGGCAATTCCAGTCCAGCACGCTCGCATAGATAAATGTCCGGCCAATCTAACGTATACCGTCGGTACCAGCACGCCACCAAAGGACTGGTGTTTTGGTCAATCTAAAGTCGGGACTTGGTCGGTTTCTTTTCCGGCCTCTCTTGACAATAGTACTGCTGCTAAACTTGTCGTATCTCTTGCCGGCTTTTCTCAAGGAAGCAGCGCTGATATTTTGCTCAACGAGGCTAAAATCGGTAATATCACCAGTGCCAGCTTGGCTAATAGCCAGGATACGTATCGTGGTGCTACAAGAGCCGGGGAGTGGAGACGCTTGGAGTTTGGAGTTCCACGGGGCCTGCTCAAAGAAGGGCAGAATAGGCTAGACGTCAGGGTTACTAAAAGCACACAGTGGAGGGGATGGCTGTGGGACAGTCTGGTTTTGGAAGCTGTGTAGAATGTGGGGCATTGACAACGTCCATGCATTGCTTCTGCATCTCATGTAGGTGTCAACATGGCATAATCACAAAAAGAGAATCAACCAATAGTAAGAAGACTAAAATCTTTTCATTTCCCGTTTCCCGCGCAATGCAAATGTCTTTGTTTTCCTATCCATACCGATTCCATGCACCCTAGCCGGTCATTGAGAAGCAAAAAAAAGAAGACAAGATATTCAAATCAAGTATACGATGAGTGTGTATAAATACATAGAAGAGAGGCAAGACGAAATGAATGTGTCCGGATCAACAGCGATCCATTTCAATCATCAATCCAAACAGGACAAACAGCGCAAAAACTGATTAGAACAGAAGACAAGTCCGTGTTGTCGAAATGCAAAAAATAAGGCTTCGTAAAAAAAACACCATCGCTAAAGTGCAGGGCCGTACGCTCAAAGATTGACATTCGCCGTAGAGGAAATGCGTACAGCCTTTTCAAAGGGGTGCTGGGGTGGCGTGCAAATGCAACGCAGAAGTAACAAGGAAATTCGTAAAGGCTGTGAAGCCGAGATTGGCAACGTAATCGTTGATGTACAGTTGCCGGGTTGGGACAAATCTATAGGGTCGTAATGTCATGTTTAGAAGGGTATCAGTTTCTTTTGGAAGATTGAACCGGTACAACTGCCGGATCTCCGAGCTTTGTGATACAGAATGCAAGTATGTGCTATTGGTGGTTCCAGAGCGGTAGTGCTCTGCGGTCATAACGTCCCCAGGGCTTTGTTAGTACAGGTGGTAAAATCCTCCTCTTTCCAAGGCCCTTCAAAGCGGCGGGCTTTTTCTTCTTTTCGACGTCTGGATCGTAGTAGTGAGAGGCTGTGACCGGGACCTTGAACTCCTGTGTACTCAGGGGAAGCGTGTATTTGAAGTTGCCTCTGACAATCAGTTCAAAAGGATGTTGGAGGACTTCTTCCCAGCGCTCGCTTCCACCTGCTTCGGTCTTGTTTCCTGGATGCCCCAATCGAAGTTCGCCAATGGACTCTGCGCGATGCCGCTGGAAAAACGACCCTTCAAAAGTCAAGGGTGAGTCAAAACGGTTAACACGGCCAAGCAACATGGTGCGAGGCTCGCCTTCAATGGGATCGGTTCCTTCGTCAACTCCGGTGGTGCGGACAACAGTGTCCACATGGTGGGACTGGTCTTGAACAGGTTGCCAATTCTCCAAGTCGTCAGGCGTCCCGTTCTCAGGCGGCCCGTTGCCATGCTCACGCCACCATGTATCGGAGCCGACATGCTTGCTCTTAGCAAACACGGAAACTTCCATATCGGCAACAGTGACTCCAATGATATTGGGATTGACTGCATCGACAATGAGATCCAGGATAACTTCTTCTTGACTGGCCACGACGTTTTGAATGTCGCGTACCACAAGACTTGTGAGAGGCTTCGTAGTGGCAAAGACCAGTCCAACGGCGCAAAAGACGACGACCAAGAGCAGGATAGAAAGGACCAAGCATCCAGCAAAGCGTCGGCACCATCCGCCGTCGCGGTGATGCCGGCGTTCCAGGTGGCGTATATTGACGCTATTCCTTTGGCGAGGGGTCCGGGCTCGTGGGCTTCGGCCAGAGATGAGTGGCGTGCGTTCGTCATCGGCCGCATTCTCAGCGTCAATGTCGTATGCAGCTGAGTACTCTCCATTCTTCTTGGAGCCGTTGCTGTGTCCATTGCCAACACTGAAAGTGTGAAAGCGAGGGCTATTTGGTTGCGATGCGTTTCTCGAGGCCGGTCCACGATTGCGCGAAGACTGAGGCATCGATGAGTCACTGTCCATGACCATGTGGTTTAATCCACCTCGGCCCTGGCTATATCTACCGCCGATGTGGTGGTGGTGACTGCCTCCGCCAGCTCGCCCAGAGCCTGAGCGGACAGTACCTTCGCCCCGATCGTCTCCGTCGATACTAGGATATACGTGCGGATTAGTGAATTTAAATTTAGTGCTACTCTTCTTGCTTGGATGCTTTTGATTATCGCGGAACTGAAGTTGTGGGTTTGTGAGGCTTGCTAGTGATGTCATGCTTGGCGTGCGTGAATGGTGTCCCCGGCTGCGGTGAGGCGGGTCGGGGGGATTCGACTCGTAAATGAAGGTGGCATCAGAGTCTGACGAGTCGGCCTCATCGACTGCACTGGCCACCTTTTGTTCGAAGACGTCGGCCTTGGACGAAGCTGTGCGGTAGCTGGCGTTAGTGCTTGAATAAAAATAGCTGAGGTGGGGAGGACGAGAAGATGAAGACATGCGCATTTCCGGGCTTGGGGGAGACAAGGCCAACAGAGAGCGACGGTCATCGTATGAACGGTATGAGATGGGGCTGCCCAGAGACGAGGGTGTGTTGGAGAGCACACCAGGGTCGGGCCGAGTGTGGGTATGGTGAGGGTACGAGATGTGTTGCAACCTACCGGTGCCAGCATTAATGGACGCGGCTTTTCGCTTGGGGGGTTTCTTCTCCTTCTTTGGACGTATGGTTTCATTGCTGGGCTTCAGACGAATGCCACCGTCGGCACGACCTGAGGCAGAGCGGTCCTGGTTCACAATCGACGCCTGTGCAACCGAGGGCACGGTCTCGGTTTCGACCGTCATGTTGCGTAGCGGCGGATCGCGTGCGCGTGTTGACATGGAGGACAGCGACGGCTTTGCAGAGACGGAGTGCTGTGGCCGCTGGGCAAAGGTCGAGCGCTGCTCCTGCATCTTGCCCTTCTTGGCGCTTCTTGACGCGCTGTCACTGCCGCTTTCCGTGTGCTTTGAGTGGTCGTGCTTGAAGGAGTCGTGCTTTGAGCTGAGGTCTTCAGTGACTTTGGAATTGACGTCATTTCGATCCGTATCGGATTTGTGGGCAACGAGCGAAGAAACAAAGCTAGAATGCGTTAACAAAGTTTGCGGATGGTAACGGAAATTGGGTCCGCGACTAGTCTAACGTGCATCGCGATGACAAACAGTGGGGCCGTTGCGGGGAAAAGCGTACCTTTGCGGCTCTAGACCATGAAATCCGGATGTGGCAGGCAAGCTAGACTCTTGGACGGTTTCGAGCTTGGTAGGCTGGCCGCTTGATCCGCGGGCAGGGGGGGCCTTTATGGTCTGCGTCGGCTCATCTGGCTCGCTCGCAATGGGATGCTCGGGTACGGCCAGACGGGGCGGCGAGGCGGGCGACGAGCTCTGGACGATGATGGCAGGCGTCGACTGCGTCTCTGGGCGCTTGATTTGCGAGCGCAGTGAGTTTCTCCGCGAGTGCGAGAACCTGTCGTCAGAGGGTGGTGGTGATTTAAGCCGCGGCGAGATGGGCCAATGGGGTGCTGCGTCGGCCGAGGCAGATTTGGACGGAGCAGGCTTGGTAGAACGCGGTGCGCGTGCAGCGTCGGGCGTCGAGGATTGTGTTGCGGGAGTGATCTCCGGTATGCTTGTGGCCGAGTGAGCACGCTGCACTGGGCCTGTGGGCGAGGGGCCAGGTGTGGTGGAGTTTGCGAGACTCGATGTTCGGCTGGGGCTCGCGTCGGTGCTGCTCTTGCGTGAACGGAAGCCAGGCCTCACGCCCGATCCGGCAGCAGCTACATTACGCTGGTAAGGTCGGGCAGGCGAGGCTTCCCGTGAAGAGAGTGGTGATGACGACGAGATGGACGAGTTGAGAGGGCGCTGACCCGCCAGCGTATGTTGCCGCATCGAGGGCGTCGAGGAGTTGTTGGCAGCAGTAGTAGTAGTAGCAGCAGTGGCAGTGGCAGCGGCAGTAGCAGGAGCGGTGGCGGCAGCGGTAGAGGTAGAGGCAGACGTGTTGCTGGCGGGGTTGCTGTGGGGCGCGGTGGGTGCAGTGGGTGCAGCAGCGGGTGGGTTCTGTTGGTGGTTTGGGAGTTGCAGTGGCTGCTGGCGTGGTGAATGCTGCGTCGACGACGACGTGGAGGCAGAGGCGGGTTCAGCAGTCTCGAGGACGCCGGAGATGGAGTGGAAGGCGTCGTCGTCGGCAGCACGTAGAGAGTCGGTGTCGGTATCGGTCATGATAGTTGTGATCGAGGACGTGCTTTTGCTTCAATGGGCAATAGCACCCGTGGCATCCTGATGCTGAGCTGGCTGGAGCGCGTCACTCGCTGGCGACAGTGGACTGGGGCCTGGATAGCAGCGAGGCCCGGGTTCAATGGGCGGTCAAAGCAGGCGAGGCGGATCAAAGGGCAGCAGACGGCGTACGCGGCGCGCAGTCGTTGGACAAGAGCGCCGCACCGCCGGCTCTCTTTTCTTGCAGTCGGGAACAGGCAGGGCAAATGGGGCGTGCAGACGGAGGGCGGATGGCGGATGCGGATGGATGGGTGAATGCGACTGGGACGCTGCTGGTGCCAACGCCCACGCCAGATCCAGGCACGAACCGAAACCTGCCAGCGCATCGCCCCCCAGCCCGCCCTCTACGACTACATAGTACATAGTACATGCTACATGCTTCATACATGGACACACGCATGTACGTATTTACAATCGACTATAACAAGAATAATGCTCTTCCGCCACGGCCCTGTCAGCTGAGCTCAGCCCGTTCCTCTGCCCACACGGGAGCGTGGGAGTGCGAGTGGGAGCATCTTCTGTCACTGCATGGTCGACAGAGGCTCATAGCAAATAGCAGCAACCTTGGCCCCCTCGCGCTCGCCCACGGTAAAGGGCAGGAGAAAAAAGCAGGCATTACGAGCCCTCTGGCAGTTCGAGTGGCGCCCGGCCAGACACACGGTACAGTACGTCAGGCTCGCTAGTGCGCCTTCACCACCTCTTGCACACAGCACCACCACACATCCAGACATAGTCGTATGTACATACGAGACGCTGCATGCAACCACGACGACTGAGACGCCTCCACGTGCGGGCATCCCCACCCCTCGCCCACGCACCAGATCAAGTCTCTGCAGTCTGACACTCTGCTCGCTGCCGCTGCGTGCCCGAGGGCCGGCTCGTCCTCACCTCAGACGGGCGCTGCATCTGGGCAAATCAGCTCCCCTCGCCTTCATTCGTGTGCGGTACTACCACACTTTGCTCGCCCTCGGAACCACCGCAGTCAACAAAAGCATCGTGCACTGGTCTCGACCAAACTCTGCCCTCCATGTCCGCCGCCTGTCTTGCAAACCATGGTTTGCTCGTCGGAGCCGCATCGACTTCTTCGTGGGCGGTGTGGTTGCCTGCGCAACACCAGACAACATGACTAGTAGCTTGGTCGACTTTGCAGCCTCACAATGCGCTGCCCCACTCGCCGTGATGACACCATACCAGACTATCCAGGACATTGACATTGCGCGCATATTCTATCCACACCATGTCCATGTCCATGTCCTGGTCCGTCTCGGGGCTGTACGACTGATTCGGACCATCTGGCACTGTTTGTATTATTGCTGATCAGCACTTGAGAAACTCCAGAGCACAACCTAAGCCTTATGGAGCCACTTCCAAACACAGAAATCCCACTTTGATGCCCATTCGCCATGTCTTGTTTTGGGCAAACAGAACTCAGCCACTTGCTGTTCCTAGCACCGCCTGCATCTTTTCTTCTCTCGTCTATATGCCCGTAATTGGTCTGTCCCATCGCATCATCGCATCGTCACCAACAATACTCTCCCGGATACCGAGCACCAGCCCCCAACCCGCCAAGTCATTGTGAGCTCTTTGCAGACTCGGCTGTTGCAGCTGCTGGAAATAGCCTCGTTGTACGCTGATATTGTCAGCAGCTGTTCGAGACCTTGCGTACACAGCCACCTTGGGCGTGTGCATTGAAGTCGGCACCTGGTGGACAAAGTGCCGGAACTCCAGCCAGGCCACCCGACTAGTACCAAAATCAATGACGCACCACAAAGTTAGCAACTCCAGAGCGTCATCGTACCACCACGAGATTATTGTGATAATGCTTACTTTTTACCCTCTTCTTCTTTGCCGTGTTCAAAGCAATGTCTATGAGCTCAAAGCACCTCAAAAAGACGTGGGTAAATAGTCCCGCAGACTATACACGGCATGAAATTCAAGCCGTTTTGGAGTCCCGGGGATTTTGTCCACCGGATGGACGGGTAGAGACAAGGTAACTCGAGATCACATGTCTCAATCGTCATCACAGCACCACTACTAAGCCGAGTACCTTTTAATATGCAACCCGTGAAACAATGTCAATATGTTTGTCAATGTTTCCTATTTGGATGCTGGCAGGGCATCACGTGACTCTAGTCGGGTGCTCTTTCCACGCCTGCAAACCCCATCCAACCACAAGGCGAGCAATGGAATCGTCGCCTTGACCTCCAATTGCTTCTCCTACCTCTCTCCTTTTGTTTTGTTTTTCACCCTTTCCACAACAGATGCACTGTACTCCTTACCATGACCTCCCTCTTGCACTTGAACAACCACTCCTCGTCTTCCCCGCTCCCACCGCACCACCCCGCTCATCTCTCACTACTCTGCATGAACATTCCCTCCTCTCATACCCTCCACTACAACGGCATAAACGTGTTTCCCGTCCTGCCGTCCATTTTCCTTCTACCGTCCTTCCATACGCCCATCGGCATGAACACGTTCAATTTCCACCTGACACACGCTTACCCTGCACCTTGGTTGACATCCCTCCACACCAGCCTAATCCAACCAATCATAGCCACCGCAATGTTTCAAACAACAGAGGCAAAAGTAACCACGCCTCTTGTTTCTCCATGAATGTGTCGCGACATGCCATGATTTCACTCAAAACCATACTCGACCTCATTTCCTAGCGGGGCTGAGTATGCAAACGAATAAAGTTCTCACCTTCCCGAGTAATGTTTTTGTGGCCTGAAACTGTGAAACGAAACATCAACGGACAGGGTATACGTAAGGATGTACGAGCAAATCACTGGGATGTAGGGGTTAGGAGATACTCTGCCATCGAGGCAAGTACGAATATGGCCTCGGTGTTTGAAGTACAAAAAGAAAGTTAAGATAAGATATAAACTCCACGATCGGTTCACGAATTGCTTTTGCCTTGGTTGTCTTTCTCCACACTCGTTTACCCTCTTTCATTTTGCTATTTCATCACCATGCCGTCCTTTAGTTTCTGGAAGAGCTCAAAGACAGAGGAGTCGGCACATGAACCACTGCTCGCTACACATACAACATGCGATGAGGTCGACATTCCCGATATCATCATACCAAAAAATCTAGATCTCGATCCAGGAAAAGAGGATTCAGGTGTTTTTCTTTTTGATGAATTAGATCCTCGGCCACCAACGTTGTCTCCCCCACAGGTGACGACAGAGGTTGGTGGTGCGTGCATAAGAGAGACGTTCATTTCACCGGTACCTGAAAAGGCGGCTGAACGGATCGACTCACCTCTAGAGGGTTTGGTAGAGCAATCCCCTCTTCGACCTCGGGTCCCCGAACAATGCGTGCTCAGCGAGACTGCTCACGAGGACCCTCCCATGGTTGCAATGGATGTATCCACAACAACGCCAAAAGAAAACAATTATAATGTCGAAACCTCCAAAAACGACGGCTCTATGCCTTCATCTCAGCCCGCAGTCTCTACTCCATCAATGTCACCAAAACAGGCCGCCCCGGCCAAACCAGCCACACACCAGCGCAAAACCTCAATAGCGCGTCTCCGCAGACCTGCGGAATTAAATCTAGCAACAAATACCACTTCATCCTCTCCATCTCAACCTTGCTCAGAACTAGAGCAGCGCTACGCCCTGATCCGCAACTCCAAGACGCAGTCTAAAGCCGCGCTACGCTCCCCTACCGCTCTCCTCGAGGAACGTCTCAACCTAACCCCCAAGAAAACGCCAGGAAGCGAGAACAAAGTCCGAATCTTCACTCCTCCGGTAACACCAGAAAACGGATGCTGGATCCCCGGTCCAGGCGCCGCCACCAACGCCTTCACCAGCTCCTCAATACGTGCATGCACAGAAAAGTCCGGACGCCCAGCATGGTGGTGCAAGTTCGACAAACTAGTTGTTTTTGACGGTATCGACCAAGATGCATCGGGGGAAATGACGATTCGCACCAGAACGAGCAAGGGATTGAGCATTGCAAGGCGAAGAGGCGATATAGAATCTATTCTCATCCCGCTGGACTGCAGCCACTGCCAGGAAATGCTGAAGAGGCATGAGTGGAAGTACGATATGCGCGTCTGCAAACGGAGCGTATGCTGGGACTGCAAAGAGAGGTGTAAGTGGGAGGCGGAAGAGGAGAAGAGGACGACAAGTGTGCAGAAAACGGGTAAAGCAGAGGGCAACAGGTTCCGTGCGGATAGTGTGTTGCAAGAGTAGTTTGTGTATACAAAAGATATATGACAAGATGAAATACATACCCCATTCATTTTTATGTTGTTCCAAGGAAACTGGCTTTGGACATGAATAAAGACGTCTAACATATTATACAACAGAAACCAACAACCCTCTTTCTCGGAACTAAAACACAGACACACACACACACACACACACACCCGTTCCCTCAAGCTAATCCAAATCCATGGCATCATCCATATATTCATACGGCACATCCTCGACCTCCATCCCCTCCTCCTCCTCAAACACCCTTTCAAAATCCCTACTCGTCACACCGCCCTCGTCCCCCTGATACCCCATCGCCACCGCCCTCGCCTCTTCACACCCCGCCAAAATCCCCCTCAACATACCCTCGATCCCCAGCTCCTGCAAGCTTACCCTCCCCCCTTCCCCCCCTTTCTTACAATCCGCATCCTTCCACATATTCCTACACTCCTTCGCTCTGCCCAACTGCACCCGCACATCCCCCTCACCCAGACACTTCTTAAACGGACCGTCGGGATCATCCAACGCCTCGAGGAGATTAGCATGGAAAGCGTGGTCCGCTATTGGCCTTGTGTGGCGTAGTGCCGGATTCGTCTCATAACGTAGGTAATTGAAATTTTGGCGCTCAGCGGGTAAAGAGGAGGAGATGGAGATGCGGAATAAGGAAAGCAAAGAGAGGATGTAGCGTTCGAGTAAGGTGTAGAATTCGAAAAAGTCGAGTTGGAACATTGAGGGGGTGGTGGTGGTGCTGGGGGGGTGGTGCTGGAGTAGGTCTAGGGTGCGTAGGTAGGAGAGCATGAGGAGTTCGGCTTTCCATTGCAAACGTACGAGAAGTCGGGTTATGCGGTCTTTATCTTTTTTTAGCTTTTCCGATTTGGATTCTGCGAGTTTTTCTGCGGGGGTCTTGGGCGCGTATTTGGAGTTGTTCATCTTGTGCTTGAATACGTGTGTGTGTGTGGAGATTGTCCTAGTACGTAGTGGTGATGGGTGTGATAGTGGGGGGTGCGTTCCGGGTTGGAGCTGTATCTATAGCGCAGCGGTTTTGCGAATTGGTTTGTACCTTTTCAAGTTTATATTAAGCGTTGCGGTAAATCCTTGGAGAAATGTACATGTATCCAATCGGGCATTGTGTGTTGTAAATGTGTAGTAAGCGGGCGCGTGTTGTTACCGGCGTTGTAAAGTTATTCGCGCCGAGACGCTTCCTTTGTGACTGACTCAGCGCATCCTTTCACGCCACATACTAACCGAGGGGGATCGTAATCGATATCGTTTCCTAATCGGGTATCATTCGTGAACGTTCGAAGCCTCTAGGCTGTTTGAAGACCGATAGACACCTTCACCGTGTTGATGAGTGGTAGCGTGTGGCTGCCTGTACCCGATTCCTATAGTAGTCTAGGTCCCACATTCTACTGGCGGGCCGAAAGATGGAGCATACGCATGTAGGAGTATGGAAACTTGATAAAATCAAGCAGACAAACATCATTCCATGCTAATGGTTCAATCGAAGGGCAGATATGCATGAGTCGAAGAGATTCAGACGGATATCTCATGCCGAGAACCGTGTGGTCTAAGTACGTGATCATATTGTTCCAGAAGATGCCATAAGTATAGGCGCAAACTTACACCGGTTCACATGGTGAAAACCCCAAACTTTATTCAAGCCGCCACTATCGAATGCCAATGGTACATTCAGAGTGCAAAGTCGCCCGGGTCTGTATATTGAAGACACTGTAGCCAGTCAGGAGAGCAAGTCAGTCAGTACTAGTTGCTTTAACTCATCCGTTCATGCTACTTGAAAGCGATGTATTCGTGAAGGGGGATCGAGATCTAGTGGGCACTAGGATAAGAAAAAGAAACAGACTATGATTTAGATTTTTTGATAGAGAAATGAGCGAGAGGGACACGATGCTGCTGTGCTGGAGATGAGATTAGAGGTTCGAATGTCGGGAGTATTGGATGAGCAGAGGAGATGCACGGAGTAGCAGTATTTGTAGGTAATGCTGAATAATTAGAATTGCTATCTGTGTGATGGGCCATAGGTATTTTAGAATATGTTGCATGTGGTCTTGATGTCTTGATATGCTCATAAATTTGTACCATGTGTCCGCTAGTCGTTATAGTTAAAGCACAGTCTCTCTTCATTCACGCAGTCAAAGATGCATGTACCAGTTCATCAATCCAGATACGTAAAGAGTCTTGCAGAAGCTAGAAACATATAACATGGCACCTGTAGAGATTTCCAAAGGGTCAACACCACAGCAAACATTCATTGAGTTTCTAAAACATGGATATCATGATCATCTATTCAAACGTAAAATAGCAACCAGACGACATGCTACATTAGACCGAACTTTCCATCACATCATCATGGTAGGAGACAGTACCAGCCATAGAATAGCGACACAGAATCCTAGTACTATGCTCTAAAGCTTAAAAGGTACCAACGACCTTCTTCACTGTCCTTCGCATACCCTCGCCCGTAATTTGCACAGCACCCTCCAACTCCGCGCTTCGCAACACCTCTAGGAACTCCTGGTTCTCCACTTGCTCGCTCGCACCCTCTCGGACGCTCTTCATCAGATCGCTCAATCGCACGCTCTGGCCGGCAGAACCAAGCTCATCGAGCGAAGCCAAGACTGCACGCTTGAGGTCTTCCTTTCTGCGTCGATCGCTAGTCGAGGTGCCTTCTGTGAGGAGCGACATATCAATCAATCCCGTGCGTGCATCAGTGGCTGCCTGCTTGAGGGCAGACTTGATGAGGCGGACGGCTTCGTGGACGTCATCGGCTGTGACCTCCTCAGAAAGACGCATCTTGGCATGGGCTTCCGAAAGTCGAATCATCGACTCCAATTGACGTGTGGTTGCTGTAATTCTTCGTTCCTGTGAGCGGACATCGGCGCCCAATCCACGCATAGCAACGTATGCATCTACAAGCGCTTTCGATGCAGGCTCGGTGATCTTGGGGTGGATGTTGGAGCGCGCATAAGAGATGTAGGCGGTCAAGAACTCAATTGGCAAGACCTCGTTCTTCGCAGCATTTTCGGGTGTATCTTCAAGGTACATTCCAACCAAGTGACGGGCCATTCGACGATCGTTCTGCTCATCGATACGGTCCAAGACGAGGTAAACAAGATCGAAACGCGAAAGTAGGGTTGGCGGGAGATCGATGTTCTGTGGGACTGGGAGGTTGACGTTGTACTTGGAGCCGATGGGATTGGCAGAGGCCAGGATAGAAGTACGCGCGTTCAGGGTGGTGATAATGCCGGCTTTGGCAATAGAAACAGTCTGTTGCTCCATGACTTCGTGGAGGACGGACCGTGTAGCTTCCGACATCTTGTCGAACTCGTCAATACAGCAAACACCACCGTCAGACAATACCAGGGCTCCGGATTCGAGCACCAACTGTCGAGTCTCAGGATCACGAGTAACGTATGCAGTCAAACCAACAGCTGAAGATCCCTTTCCGGATGTGTACACACCACGCGGTGCGATTCTGTGGACATATTGCAGAATCTGGGACTTGGCAGTGGATGGGTCACCACAGAGCAGGACGTTGATGTCGCCACGGTACTTTGGACTACCGCCTTTCTCGAACTGTTTGTTGGTGCCGCCAAAGAGTTGGAGTAAGATGCCCTTCTTAACATCCTCCATTTCGTAGATACTTGGGGCAAGCGAACGAGAAAGTAGCTCGTACACGTCGGGACGAGCACCGGTGGCTTTGATCTTCTCTTCCTCCTCCTCAGTGACCTTGCGGGTTTCTTCCAAATCACCAGCCGCATGCTCTGCGAGCTCTTCTTCAATTGTCGATACATCGATGCCCAGACGCTTCTTGTCGACTTTTTGAATATGCAGCGCATCGACATATGTCTTGAAGATGTTTTTGACTGATCGTTGTCGTGGGTTGATGCGGACCTGGTTGCATTTGAAGATACCAGTAATCTCTACCCGGTCACCAGCTTTGCAGACATCAACCAGTTCATCATATGCGCAAAGGGATACCGAGTGCGGTGTTTGACCATCTGGCATATCATCCGGAGTCTCTTGTAGCTTGATGACCTGCTTATTGGCAAACCCGGAGCGGTTATGCACAATTTGCATCGAGTTGGGCGACTCGCACACCGCACGCGGGCATTTGGTGGGTTCGGTGATCTTACCACGGTCAATGTCTACCCTGACCGTATGGTTACACACAGAGCAGCGGAAAAAAGCTAGTGATGTTAGCTACCGTCGACAGATTATCATCCTTCAACTTACCATCTTTCATATCAGGAATGATCGGGGTAGTCCTAATAACCAGGCCCTTGACACTGACAAGTTTGTCCATATCACCAGGGTTCAGCTCGCGCAGATTGATGGTCTTGTCCAGACCAAATGGCCTTACATTGTAGGTCTTTTGGTCCACCTCGCTAACCAGATTAGGGATCTCTGGGAATGGAGCAGGAGACGGAGCACCAGGAGTAGGTGCATCGGAACTCATCATTGGAGGTAGAGAACTGGAATCACGGCCTCTAGGCTGAGCACCGCGTTGCTGTTGCGAGAGTTGAGTCCTCATCTCCGCCATTCGCTTCTCAGCAAGTTCGAGCATAGTGTCCTTTATGGCAACATCCATGATTGGGATAATTTCGTTGGGATACGCCTGCAACTGGTGCCAAAGCTTCCTCGTTGGCGGGTAGGCCTTGAGGTTGCGGGCATCCAAGTTCAATGGCGTGACACCAAGCTCAAGCATCATCTTCATAATATCAACGTACTCCCGAGCCATGCCTGGGTGGTTCGGAGGAAGATTCATGCCTTCTTCCAGCTCGCCATCCTGAATCATGCGATACTTCTTTTGGAAGTTCATGAGAAAGTCCCTCATTGCATGACGGGCATCCACCAGAGACACATTGGTTCCCCAAATGACTCGTGAAGAGTTCCCACCCAACACATCGGCATCAGAAGTATCTGGGTTGATATTGGAAAACGTTGCTGCATCTGAGGCATCCTGAACAGGCATGCCATTCTCATCGACGAATAATCTGCGGCGGCGATTGGTGGAGCTAGTTCCAAAGACATCAGAGTGGATATCATTTCGTCGACTACGTGCTGCAGACTCTGAGCCACGGACGAAGAGGGCACTACTGCTGCTACCCGGAATATTGCTCTGGGCATTGCGGGCTCGACCAGGGCTAGAGCTGGAGGCATAGTGAATAGGTGACGAGTCTGTACATATTAGTCATGTCACTGATGAATTGCCTGCTCTCCATACCTCCAATGTTCATGGCTGACGCCTTTGGTGTTGCACCACCATCGCTCTCGTCAGCCCCATTTGCAGGAGCAGGCGAGGATTGGAAGAAAAGAGGCGATTGGGTCGAAGTCGTCTGAAACCGTGCATTTCTTGGAGTTGCTTGAGGTCCACGCTGTGAAGCTTGTGTCGCCTCGGATTGGAGTTGCTCGTCCGGATCTACTGGTACTGGACTCGATTGCATCTGAGAATTTTGGCCACGAGCGCTTCTCCTTGGGGTCGCCGAGGCCGACGTGCGCTGAGAGCGACGCTGGGGTGGGGAAGACATTGTTGGGGCGCTCTATGCGGCAGCCAGGGTGAATGTGTTGATGTTGTACTTAGAGGGGTTGCCAGGGAGGTGGAGTTTATCGCGCCCACTCCTCCTGTGGACGCGTGGGACGCGTTCTGGTCTAGTCTGTAAAGGGACGGTTAAGTGGTCTTGGCATTACAGATGTCTACCCAGCTGCACGTATATGAGAGATCTCATGCAGGGGAGTGGGTATATGAAAGGATGTAATATCCAATTCTTTGTAATACAGCCAGGAGACTGCCGTCTTGGTGTTGGTACATGTCGAGACCAGCTTGTAGAGAAGGTCAGTGGGGCAGTTTAGCCCCGCGGACAGACGAACATTTCCAAGCAGGCAACAACCAAAACCAGTAGACTTGAACATACAAAAGCCGAGTTCCTCGTGAAATTGACATCAATCCATTCTGTTTCCACACACACGCAATTCCCAAGTATCCGCCATGGCCCCTCCGTCTAAGCTCGCTATAGCAACTGGCGTCGTGCTCCGCTTAGTGAAGGAGGAAGCAAGCTACCACAAAGAGATTGAGCAGCAAGAAGCACGCGTCAAGAAGGCCGAAGCCAGTCAAGATGAACACAATGGCGAATACACACTCAAGCAAGAGGTATATTATATCCCTATGCCCCAGGGTTTCACCAAAATCCAATAATCAGACACTAATTTCATTACAGCGTCAAGCACTCCAGGAGACCAAGAACGTACTGCCAGGCATGAAGATCAAGATTGAGCAAGCGGTTGAGAAGCTGGAAGAAGAACTTGTAAGCTGAAGAACTCATCAAGTGCACAGGAATGATGGTATTGACCAGACCTAGGAGAACAGTAGCGAGGCTTCCGAGGAGGAAGTCACAAAGGCAAAGGAGGCGGTTGCAAAGGGAAAGGCTGCCATGAGTGAGGCTTCGTAAATCAGGATTGTCATGCTGCGACTAGATGTTACAAGCCCGCCACGAAAGATGAAGATACATTGATACCCTAACACCGCGCTATGCAAGCAAATCATGAGAAAAGACACCGTTCCACATGTGATTACGACTCGTCCATGCTCATTGATGGTCCATCATCACCGTCATGCTCGCCATCTTCCAGGTCTTCGCCCTCTTCTAAGCCATCCGAGTCATCTGCATTGGCATGGCCTGAGTTTGCACCCAAATCTGCCATTTCAGTGTCCTCTGCAGCACCAGATCTAGCCGAAGGTGCAATACTGACGTCTCGAGACAGAGGCTTCAACCGATCTTGGGGCGGTGCTCGTAGTGACGACCCTTCTCCGCCCTGGCTGGCGTGTACGGGCGTCATACCACCATCCGGCCGTGGCGTACCAGCATGACTGACGTCTCCCCTGGACATGCTGCCGTCTCCCTCGCCATCCTCGTCCCCGTCCTTCATCATGCCCTCCTTGCGCTCAGCCTCTTCCTTCTCATCCTTGATCATGCGCAGCATCTCCCGAGCCTCCTCTTCTATGCGGCCAAACTGTGTACGGCGCTCACTCCAGGTATCCTTGGCTGACTGCACTTCGTGCTCGAGCTCCCGTATCTCTTGGTCCAGCTTTACGTGTGCATGTGCTTGCTCGTCGCGCGGCTTGAGCATCTTACTGCTTGTGATCTTTTCGGTCAACTCGTCATACGTCTTACGCACGGCAAGTGTTTCCTTGGCTTCGATGAGTCGGACGCGAAGATCTTCAATTGTCTTGCGCACATGGTCCTGCTTTGCCTCGATGGCCGTCTTTTCCACGGCGTATCGCTCGCGCTCCGTATGATTGCTGTTTGTCGTGAATTCGGCGCGTAGAATTGCATAGTCGAGTAGCGAAAGCTCGTTCATAATATCTTTGCGCCATATCTCAATGTTGTGTGCCTGCTGCTCGCGCTCGACTTTCAGCGCGACTGCTTCCTCCTCAGCAGCTGTGGCGTCTGGCGGCGGCGAGAGAAGCTGTTTTGGGCGTGCATCTTCAAAGAACCCCGGCTTGAGCAGACGACCTGCGGCGTTTGTGTATGGACGAGCCTCGACTGCTAGAAGGCGCGATACATTGTGGAGCGCATCTGCTCAGGTTAGCGGGAGACTTGAAGCAGATAATAGCTGGTTTTACCCTCGTCTGCTTGGGACAAAAGGCCCCATTCCTTAGTCGCCATTGTTTCGGTGTAGAGGCGCAAATATGCGACAGCTGTTGGGGTCACTGGTGGTGGGCTGCTTTGGTATTCAAAGTCGCGACGCCGCAGTTTGATGGTCCATCGCGGCGTCTGATAGGGATCTGAACTAGCGCCAGGGCCCATCCGACGTCAGATATACACCTTCGGCGCTTTCTCCTTCATTACTCTCAGCTCTTCATTCTAAACATTCGCTTTGTCGCTTTGTCAATAACGCTGTTCGAAAAAAATAGTTTCTTTGAAGCCTAGGCTGGCGAGATGCAACCGTGAATGTTGTGGGGTTCTCGAACCCATCTCATGACCACGCTGCCTACACACCACTCGTCAATGGTTCGCATAACTACAAGTGGAAACCATCCTTTCAGCAATCCCTAAAGCCCAACCGACGAGTCGCATGATACCCCAACTTCGATACTGAACCCTGACACATCGCATCCCAACGCCTTTGCATATACGTTTCGCGACGCCTCCGTTGCCTACACCATGCCGGCTCTTACCCTCTTCGAACTGGCCCGTCAGCGGCTTATCAAGAACATCGACATGCTCCGCGACGTTGGCGATTTGCCCTACTCCTTCCTCCAGCCTGTTCTCCGATTCGTACGAAGCCCCGATCAGCTTATCGAGCTCGAGTCCAACTGCCCTCAGCTACTCGGAGAGACGGGCGAAATCTGGCTCCGCTTCATAAAACGAGACATACCAGACTGGGAGAAGAAGCCACATGAACCGCGTGACCCTCAGAACTGGAGTAAAGTTTACCGTAAGCTGAAAAAGGATGCCGAGCGTGAGAAACAGGCCGATGAAGAGGCGCTGAAGCAGCATATGAAGGCGATACAAAAGGATCGCGCACAAAACAAGACTCTTATCGTGGACAGCAGGATTGGGTATGGTTCTGGAGGCAGCAGGATGTTCACGGGGCGAACTACGACAAGTTGGGGTCAGCCTTCTGGTGCGCCTGCGAAGACAGGCAAAGCCGCTTTCGATAAGCTGAAACGAGGCATGTTCGACCACGGACGTGAACGGCCAAAAGCCAGTCAGATACCCGCGCATCTTCTGGCCCAAAGAAAGAGGCCTATTCAGCAAGCTCCAGCGCGTATGGTCCGAATGGCTGAGAGCGAGGCTCCTCGGAGTATGGTTTTGTCCAAACAGGCCTCTACATCCATGGCGAACAGACCGGAGCCTGCACCCTCTACAAGCCGTCCAAATATCACACAGCGACCAGCGCCCCAACAGCGCAACCCGCCACCACCATCACGAACCTCACTACCTGCAGGGCAGCAGTTCAGCGCGCCGAAACCAAGACCAGCAAGCGGAGGCGTAGCCCCTGCGCCAAAGAGAAAGAAGGAGGAATATAGCATGTTTCATACAAAGAAGAGGAAAGTTTGAAAGCAGGATGAATTACGGCCCTCTCTTATGGAGTGTCGGAAGATCATTGGTTTGCCAAGGATACGCAAAGATCGACCATGAACTGTCTGGGAATACGATATATAACTTTTGACTGCACAACAAACAGGGCGCTTTGGTGTTGGTAAATATTTTATAGGATACATGGGTTGAAGTGGAATGTTCACCCAAGATCTGCATCGCGAGGCGTTGTTTATATTAGTAGTTGTTCGCTTTTTGAGTTTGCCAGCATGTCTGTTTGTTGGATTGCTTCTGATGTGCACTTTTGTTATTGTTTCAGTGCACTTTGAGGTTTCGTTTGTTGAGAAGCGGTTGATTTCACAGGGTTGGCTTTTTCGGATACATGCTTGGTTAGCATGATGTGACTATTCTATAACAAAGCAATCCTATAGTGACCAGTTGTTCTACAATATCCTGTTTCTTTGTGACTTCTTATTTCTTCCTTCAGTGACTCCTGCATGACTGGTAGCCAGATGCGCATTCAGTTCTGTTCCAAGCACATGCGTCGTTTACTGATTTCAAGAGTAAAATATGGATATCTGAAGCTTTGAGCCATCATTCGGATCGTAAGTTAGGCATAAAGTCTAAGTATTCTCTAGTCGATCCTTATTATATCGTGCTGGCATTCTAATTACCCAATCTATCAGGCTAATGAATGACTAATGCGTCGGAAATTTATAAAGCTATGCGTGACGGTTGACATCCATGTAGTCGCTGTGTTACCAGTTTGTTACAAGATGCGTTTATCACCTGACATCCAGACACATACTCGGATGTCCTCCTCTATACATCGTGACCGGGAGGCATATGAAGAAAGCGTAAGATCATCCGCAATCAACACTGTACATCAGACTTCAGACTTGACATACAAACCAACGACATCACCTACTCTGCCACCTTCTCTTTCGCCGGCCTCAACATAAGCTGCCACAAGAATTAGTCCAACCCTCCAAATCCTCTCAAAAAAAACTTACAATAAGATCAATCGTTGTCGTCCCACCCCACTTTCTCAAATCAAACGCCACCTCCTTCACCCTCTGAAACCCAAACCTAGCATACAACGGCGCTCCCGTCGGACTCGCCTCAAGAAACGCCTCCACGCCCGCCTCATCCGCCCTTTCACACCCCCATCTCACCAGCATACTCCCCGCACCCCTCCTCTCATGCTGCGGTAACGTAACCAGCGTTTCCAGCACGTAATACGGTCTCTGCCCTAGAACCTCCCTCTTATTCGCATTCATCGTACTGAAAACCTCATTCCACATCTCCGGGTCGCTCTCTTCAAACGGCTCAGGCAATGTGAGGCCTGCATCGACTTCCTCCCAGGTGCGCTGCGCAGCACCCTCTTGCTGTGGTTTAAAGTAGCGCCAGCGGGCGCCGGCGACCATTTCGCCCGTGGCAGTATCGACGCATTTTAAGAAGAGGACTCCGTCGGCGATGCCGGTGCGGATGGAATCTGTGACTTTGTCGAGGGTGGCTTGCGAGGGCTCGCCGCGCGGGTAGAGGATGTGATTGACGGTGTTGCGGAAGACTTCGTGGCGGATGCGCATGTATTGTTCTGCTTCTGAGGGGTCGAGGAGCGAGATTTGGAGGTTGGGGTCTGGCATTTTTTGGGGGGAGAGTGGGAGGGTATACGGTGTTGGTGTATAGGGAGTAGGTTGGAGTCACGGTTATGGGATGGTGAAGATTGGAGAAGAGGTTCCGACTGAGGAAGGTTGCTTGACTTATTTGTCAGACTAGTTTATCGTTCATGATGACTCAGGCTGTCCCCTGTTCAGTACATGTATCACCTGGGTTGCCTTATAGAGTTGAAGGATTACGCCCTTTTGCTCCACAGTCTTGCTCTCGCGGGGCACATGTACTCAGGGTTGAAGTGACTTCAAGTAGTATAGGGTGGAAGCTATGCATTTGCAGGCTAGTTTTTAGAACCAATTGATTACTCAATAGATTGAACAGACATGTGCAATATCAGACCACCACCTACCTACCTCTTTGGTGGTAAGGCTGGACTAGCGGGTGGCGGACATGTGAGTGGGTGGTGGTCGCGTTGTTCGCTAATCCCGGTCGCGTCTGGCTGATCCCTGCAACAATTTTCTCGACGTTAGTTTTGCGACCATCCGGCCTGCACCTCTTCGCATCCACGATCCAACGGCAATGGCACCCGCAACGACGATTCCGCACAAGTCGGGGGGACACCAGCGATACAAAGCTGCCAAATCGGACAGCGCGACAAGACATCAAGCAGACCTTGCTGCTGGCGACAGCGATGCAGAGGCAGGCGCATTGCAGCCGGTGAAGGAACCGCAAGAAGAGGATGGGTTCGAAGGGTTTGACACAGAAGGAGAGAATGAAAACGACGGAGGTCAGAGTGATGAGAGCGACGGGGAGAGCATAGATATACAGCTGGAGAAGAAAAAGCCACAGGAAAAGCCGGTATTGCCAAAGGATGCTGAAGAAGAGGAGCTTGAGCGTATGATATTTGGCGACTCGGAGGGCTTTCGGCAAGGACTAGAAAACTTCTCGCTCGACCGTACGACCGGCACATATGACGACGATTCAGACAAATCGGGAGCAGAAGAGGCGTCTCTTGATGGCGTAGCAGACCAGGACTTGTTCTTCTTTGACGCAGGTCCAGTTGCTGCACCGGCGGGTTCTGTGGCACCCAAGGGTACAGAGGAGTCGGACGACGAAGAAGAAAAGCCCGCGTGGGAAGATAGCGACGACGAACGGCTGGTGGTCAGTTTGGCGTCGGTACCTCAGCTGAGAAAACTGCGGGAGACAGCAGACGATGACGTAGTCAACGGCAAAGAATACTCGCGGAGGTTGCGCAAGCAGTACGAGAGGCTGTATCCTACACCCAACTGGGCGGCATATGCGACAGGCAAGGCCAACAAGAAGCGGAGACGCACAATGGACGAGGATGAGAGTGGAGACGAGTCGGCAAGCGACATGGACGTCGATGACGAGGACCTATCTACAGCGCCGCTTGCCAAGCTGTTGAAGGATGCTGATATCCTTTCACGGGTCTCAAGGGGCAGCGCAAAGCGAAGGAAGCTCCAAGCAGGCACCATTGACATTCAACGTCTGAAGGATGTGTCCAAAGCCGGACCGGTAAGCAGGACGAGCCCAATACATGATTTGATAATGGCTAATAGTTTCTACAGTCTGCCATTACCTCTCTGTCCTTCCATCCTACTTATCCACTACTGCTTTCATCTGGACCCAGCTCAACACTGTACCTTCACCACGTCAATCCAAACCCGCCGAATCCAAATCCTCTACTTACATCACTGCACATCAAGCGCACGCCTCTTGTTACAACTGCGTTTCATCCATCTGCATCAGATTCGCGCATCTTCCTGAGCGCACGTCGCCGCTACTTCCATGTTTGGAACATTGCAAGCGGAAGAGTGGAAAAGGTGTCGCGTGTCTACGGTCACCAGCACGAACAAAGAACCATGGAGTTTTTTGCTCTATCTCCAAACGGTAAATACATGGCTCTCCGGGGTTCGTCCAGAAAGGGCGGCGGTGTCATCAACATTCTGGATGCCCGAACACTCCAATGGGCAACGCAAGTCCGGATCGAATCGCGAGGCGGCATTGCAGACTTTGCATGGTGGGGCGATGGCACGGGCATGTGCATTGCAGGCAAGAACGGTGAAGTCACCGAGTGGAGCGTGGAAGACGGTGTCGTAGGACGCTGGAACGACGAAGGCGCTGTCGGCACGACAGTCATTGCGCTCGGCGGCAAGAGCGGGCGCGAGAACTGGCTTGGAGGTGACCGATGGGTAGCAATCGGCAGCTCAAGCGGCGTAGTTAACATATACGACCGTCGCGCCTGGAGCGAAAACGATCCTTCCCTCAGCACGCCAAAAGCCGATTCAAACGGCGGTATCCCTCCCACTCCGAAGCCGCTGCGAGATCTCCAGAATCTTACAACGCCAATTTCTCACCTGGCGTTTACACCGGATGGACAGGTGCTCGCTATGGCGAGTCGGTGGAAGAACAATGCTATGAGGCTGGTGCATCTGCCTTCGGCTACTGTGTTTAAGAATTGGCCGAGCCAGAAGACGCCGCTGGGACGGATTACGGCGGTGGCGTGGGGACGGCCGAGTGAAGATGAGGAGAAGGAAGGTAGTCTGGCGCAGTTGGCGGTTGCCAATGAGGCGGGACATATTAGGATGTGGGAGATACGGGCTTGATTTTTTTTTCTTTGGATTGGCGACGAATACAAGTGTGTGCCTTCCAGAGAAGATGCGATTGTGATTCTTTTGTTTCCCTTGTTTCCCTTTGACGAGTGTCAAGCGCGGGTTCGTCTTGACTGCAACTACCCGAAGCGAAGCGGTCAAGAGCCAAGCAACATACATGTCGGTTTTTTCTCTGTTTGAGTAAGAGTCTTGCATCGAAGGTGTCTGTGCTTACTGTGTTTCCCAGCGTAGACATGGCAAGCACGCTTGATGTTGCTGTTTGGTTACAAGCTAGCAGGTGTCTTAGACGTAGTCTTATACGACAACCTCGACATTAACAATAGCAACAGTTTTGAATGACATTCACCGTAGACGACAATTCTTTACCCAAGCATCAACATACTGGTAGCATTTTCGGCGTATACAACTAGCGTGGGTATATCCTTTTTTTCGGAGTGGGACCATGGGCAAGAACAGGAATCGGAACAGGAACAAGAATAGAGCCAAGAAGGCAAAGGGGGCTGGAGGCGATGATGGCGAGACGAGCAAGACACCGGCGACGAATTCGAATCGAGACAGTGCAAACCAGACGTCTTCGAATGCCGATAAGACGAGTGGGGGCGAAACCAAGACACTGGTAGACGGGCAGAAAGATACCAAGGAGCCAGAAGGAACAGGGGCCAGTGATGCACAAGATGCGGCTCTTCGAGGGGTTCCAACAGGCAACTCAAAGGCCAAACGCGATTCGGTCATTTCGAACACCTCCGAGGGCCCCACGGACACAGTCAACGTGCCAACGCAAGTAGCTTCAAGGCCAGGCTGGAAGTTTCGAATGCGTCGATGGCTCTGGCGGTGCTGGCCATGTCGCTTGATACGATGGACGCATTGTTTTCTAGTTGCCTTGGTGCGAATCAACTGGAACGACCAGCGACGAGTGGCAGATCTTTTGCTGACAGTTGGACTTGGTGGCTCGGCCGTGTTTGGCGTCTATCTCGTTGTTGATTTCCTGGTCAAGCACTGGGGGGGGGGAGCTAATGGCAGTTTTGCCTGCAAAGTGGTTCCTGGTATGGCATGACTGTTTGAGGGTCTACTTGGATCAAGCAATCGGTCGTTTGAAGGATGTCTGGGGAAGTATGGGGAATTCTACTGGAATGGGAGGCATTGTCAGGTATACGAGTCAAGGTGTCGGTGGTACAAGTTCACTGCTAGAATCTGTTGCGAGATGATAAAACCCTGGCTGGCTTGCTTGGTCAGCATACCCTAACCCAGAGGACGACATTTGAGAGTGCACTATGGTCGGCAGACAGGCAGATGGTGGCGGTGGTGGTGTGTCGGATATCGCCTAAAGCGGGTGGTGTCGAGTGATGGGATGCTTTGATGTTCGAGTCGAGTCTAATGTCGAGTGCACGTGATTGCTAGTGCATGGAGTTTAGGCGGTACTGCCGCTGTCACGACATGTCAATCCAGCAGACAGAGGGCGAGGGCGGAGAGGATGGTGTCAGTGGACGGGAGCAAAAGCGTGGATGCAGAGGTGCGTCTGTGTATGTATCCATGTAGATATCTCTGTGCATTCATCCATTCATTCATTCATTCACAGCAGACAGATGGATAGTGACGTCAGACAGGCACATGACCGGGTGCAGCATGGAGCGTTTCAGCCGGGAGGTGCCATGTGAGTGTCGAGGCACGCGTCAGGGCCCTGTCGAGCTTGTGTACATGTGTATGCATCACGCGGCGACGGCCGAGGCAGCAGCAGTTAGTATATTATAGTGTGTATATGTAAATGCCTCTGTAGATTTCAAGTGATATTAGATGCATGCAGCCCCGGCAATTGGTCTCTTTGCTTCCTTTTTTCCCACGGCCGCAGTCGATTCGTCTCGCCCTCGCCCTCCCCCCACACTCGCAGTCGTTTGCGCATCCCATGCTCCAACGCTCGCAGCCCGCCCCAAGCGACCAGCCTAGTCCGCGCCCGGCCTAGCCACCGTCGCCCGAGACGTGCCCCATCCAAGCAAGCCTGCACCCAGAGTCTGCCCTCGGGTGCGCTGGTGCGAGGGAGAAATCTCTCCCCCTCTGTTGGCCCCAGGTGGACCGCCGACTCCGGACCGAGACGCGCAGCACCAGCCTCTGTCAAGGTCACCGCCAGCACCAGCGCCATGGCGACATTTGCGCCCTCGAATTTTGCCCTCGACGCCGGCGACGACAAACCCCACCACGAGCCCCCACCACCGCCTCTCCCACACGGACCCTTTGCCCACCAGCTTAACCCACCCCCGACACAGCCCTACTCGTCTGCCACACCCAAACTCTCCCCACGACCCTCGCGCGACCTCCGCCACCACCTCTCCTCTGGCGCAATGGCTGGCGCAAACACTCACGCGCCCATGGCTGTCCCAGGCGGACGCATCAACCAACCCGCTCAC